GAGTATGTGTCGTTCTCGATGCCTCGAGAAAAGGGAAGTCCTGCTTCAAAGTCACAACATAGGCCTTTCAGCTCTTGAGGTCAAGCAGGATGCTAGTTGTGTATCATGTGTGCCTCTTCCCATCCTAATTAGAAGAGCCTTACAGTTTAGTCATATGTTATTGTTAGACCAATTAAATGAGTTTTTATTTATCTCAGCAAACAATAGCTTCATCGTGCATAACTAGATGTTTTGAGACAATTCAAAATCCTACGAGGGGTCCCTGACGCATTTCCCATAGCAGGATATTAATGAAACTTGACACAGCTATTAGTCTTTCTCTACATAGGAACCACCCAGAGTTATGCATTTCTCCCATCGTTTGATGCAGCTCTGGGCGCCGTTTTTGTACAACACCCCAGGTTGGTCCTCCAGCCAAGTCGTAACTTCAGAAATCAAGGCTGCATCATCTGGGCAATGCTTTCCTTTCAAAAACGACTTCATGGCTGGGAAGAGATGACAGGTGACATGCGAGTTGTGGACCGGAGTGTTTTCCTGAAAGAGGAGGATACCTTTGCTGATTTTGCCTCACCTCTTAATTTTTTATAACTTCTCCTAATTTCATCAAAAGTGACGCGTAATGGACTCCTGTAATCGTGGTACCCTTTGCCAGTAAATCTGTCATCACTGCTCCGTGCTGGTCCCAGAAGACTGTGAGCATGACCTTGCCAGCGGAGTGCTGCACCCTTGCCTTCTTTGGAGGTGGCGAGTCCAAGTGCTTCCACTGCATTGACTGGGCCTTGGTATCTGTTTCATCCTGTGTAATCAGTCTTTTGAAAAACTTTGACTCATCTTCTTGGCACAAATTCATCCTCGAGCTCTTGACGCGTTCTTGCTTCTGAAAAGGTGTGAGCAACTTGGGAATCCATCTGACAGACACCTTGTCATGAATGATAGTTTCCACAGACCCTGTACTAATCTTGACCTCTTGGGCTAACAGTAATGCGTCAATCTTCCAAAATGGCTGCCTCAACTTGACAGATGCCTCATCAATGGCAGATGAGGGACGACCTGCACTAGGAGCTGTTTCCACAGACTTCCGGTCATGTTTGAATTCACGATGCCAGCGTTTTACAAGGTCGTATGATGGGGCATTTCATTTCATCAAAAGCCCCCTTTGGTGTGCGTCCTTTCAAATACAAAAAACGGACCACTGCGCGACACCCAACAGGCTCCATTTCACACCTGACTCAGTTCCAATACCCGTAAATCAGTTTTTTGCAACATAACCCATAGAGATGTAAATCATTACACATGCAACATTTCATCTAGATCAGACAACTGGATGTGGGTCAGGGGCATTACTTATTGAACGCCCCTCGTATTAATAGGCATAACTGTAACTATTCCCAATAGATTATAGCGTCCAAGAACAATTTTAATTAATCATGTAGTATGGTAGTATAAAGGCAAAAGGTTTGATAGCAGAAATATTAGAAAGAGATCATGCGTTTTGGTTGAGCACTTAGACGAACCTGATACAAATCTGTATTGTGCAGCTTAGACATCTACTATAAGCTGGAACAGTCATTGGCTTTCTCCGGATTGGAAATCCTTAATATTGGCATGAATGACTTGTAGTTAGCAAGAAGGTTGTCCTTGTAGAATGTAGATAGGCAGAAATTATTATATGAATCAGAGAAACCAAATTCCCTGATTAAACATTCATACAAATGTTTCTTACATACAAATACAATATTGTTGGCTGTCGAGATAACTACATATTTGTCATGGAAAGATGTAAACACTTGCATGCATGCTTTGAGATCACATAGTATAAATTTTGTCTGCTCTGGAAGCATTATTGAAATTTGTGAATGTGGAGCATACATGTTTTATTCCTTTTAACAGTGTGTCAGGTTCAAACGCCTCTCTAAATCTCGGTATAAATATATATATAACTTTCAATCATTACTTTGAATACAATTAGTCGTTTTATGTTAAATAAAACATATTTACATGTAGTACATCGACTTTATGTTATATTGTATTATAATGTATATTCGTTTAAAAACAAATAAATTGTAATATTATTTTGTCATTTTCTATATGAGTTGACCATTAACAGTATCATTTTGAAAATTGCAACTCCATGTTTTGATTCATTCTAACAGTATGTCAGGCGTATGTCGTTTTATGTTATTCAAATCATATTTGGATGTAGTACTTCGAATTTATATTATATTGTACAATGTATATTCGTTTAAAAACAAATTGTAATATTATTTTATCCTGTATACCATTTTTTTGTATGAGCGGACCAAATCAATTGCCAGCATTAGTTACTATGGCAAACGCCTTTGCACTATTGCAAATATAATTTTTAAATGTAGGAATTAGTGTAGATCACACAGTAATCCTGTGCACACGTTAACAATGGATGCTATATTTAGAAAACTTTGACGCATACGAGTTATATTCTCCTGTGTATAGCCGTTGGTATATAAATGCATATATATCCGTGCCAATGTAAGTATGGTGAATTGACAAGAAATCCCGACACTGATACAGGTCTGGTACATTAATTATTGGTTGATTAGTGTTTATTACTTTCTAATATTTATCAGGAATGGCATTTTTGACATTATTCTAAATGCATATATTGCTCGCCATCTCGACATGCTGGTATTAAGACTTAGAACTACGTCAGATCCATATTTTGAAACAATAACAGACACGCTACAAGTTCTTCACTCGTAAACGTTGTATTTCTCTTTCATCATCAATATTTAGTTTTAAAATGTTCAAGAAAGCGACAGGGGACAACATATTAATAATATAATATTACCTTGTATGAAAATCCTCAGAAGCTTCACGGCATGGGTTGATTTAGTGTTAACCATTGCCACTGTTGCTCTATACGCTTTGCATCATACTATCAATTATTCGTACTTCGTAGCCCAAATTTATTGGTCAAAGACCTTATTTCTCGGAGTTATATTTGAACCGCGATGTTTGAGGGCGTAATTCATTCACGTCAGCTCTTAAGACTCATGTGAAGCCTCTTCTATTGACAAGAATCATCAGTGACCTGTGGATCTGGCAACTCCCGATTAAAGACTAGATAACTGACTGCTTTTCGGACCATACTGAAGGTAGAAAGTGTGGAAAATCTGTGTCTTTTGTTTACATTTTTTTGTAGGAGTTTGAGTTGAGTTTTCTGTCTATAATTCAATTACGTATGTGATCTCATAAAATGTAAACAATGAGTTAATCTTTTAAATCTATTTTTCCGATGATATTTTTTTTTTCAAATCATCCAAACGCTAACATTGTCTTCTATGGAAATGTAATAAGTTATATGCAGACTTAAAACTAGTTCACTATCTTGTTTTTAACCATGATTTAATAGATGGTCAAAGGTTATTTGGTACGAAGTTGAACACTGCCGTTCTTCCGTTTGCGTTGTGTCGAGTGCATTATTTGTAGTTTTTAAAGAAAAGGTGGAGATGTATGCTATATATCCACATATCTATACATATTCTGTTCTAACTGGCATACAAACAGTTGCCTTAACTGTTATGAAATTGAGTATACTTAATATTTTGGCTGTATAGTACACATTTTCTGCAGAATTTCTCATATTGAACATTAAATAGGCCGTTGCACTGTGACGTCATATGTTTACAGTTTTGCCAATCAGCACGTAAATGTCTAATAAACAAAATGTGGCTAACTGATCAGCAATAGCTTGCGTAACAACGTTTTTCATGGATATATATTTAATATCAACAACAACGAACAACGTCGTTATTTTATCTTCAGATGCGAACGACTGATTCTTGCCAACAAGTCACTGTGCACGAGCATGCGCAAAACAACTGCCAGGCATATACAAAGAGAATAAGGGATACTGTAACTACATCTCATATGAAGTTTCTTACCTGATCGTTTTGTATCGATGTTCTTCTCACTGCTTGAATGAATTTCTTGGTTTACTTCCAATTAACTTAAATTAACTTACAAATCCAAATGACAATTGTGGTTATCTTGTGTATGTATTACCTACTAGTTGAAAAAATATTGTATTAAAGTATATGGAAAAAATCGTTCATGTTTTAGTTTTAGTGTGTTTTTCAATTATGCTTAAGTTGATGCTTTCGTTGACATTTTCCGAAGGGGAAAGCGCAACATACCCTTTCATATTCTGCAAATCCATTGATTTGGTTATGTCTTAGATGCGATTTTTTTTGGTTTTGTTAAAATTCCGTTATTTGTCGGCCCTGGATATGGTATATTTATTTTCAAATACAATTTGTTTGCATAAAATTATTCTTAAAAATTAACATTATATGTGGCAAATTAGGAAAACTGGTTAAATGCATACAAATAAATAGATTATGTTTAGTTCAAAAACAATTGAACTTGAATATTCATTTCCAGTAAAAACAAAAATATAAGATTACATTTTCTGCTAAGTTGGAGGTGGGGAACAGACGCACGGAACACGAATGAATGAATGAATGAATGAATGAATGAATGAATGAATGAATGACCTCAGCCAGTCTCACAAGTCATCTTTTAATTTCTTGTCTGACATATTTTGGCTATTGTTTTAGTGTTATTTATTTTCTCTATTAAAACACGGTAACTAAATTAGTAACCGTGATTAAAACAACTGAAAAGTAGTCTATTTCAAAAAGCCTGTATTTTTATATTAAAATGTCAAAAAATCCCAGTTTCAGTTTGAACAGAATCGTATATGTGTAAATCTATGGTGAGCAAATATAACACAACGACGACAATGTACCACCTTTAACGTCCCATTGCGTCATGGGTGAAAAGGAAATGGCAGCCTAACAGTGAATCGGCGTATTGGAAACAAACCTGAAGCAAACATAGCTGAATTAAATAGTATGTTCATTGCAAATATGAGCAGTGGACAAGCCACATTCAATTTGTGTCTTATATTTTTTTCAGATTCATGCAGTTATCGAGTATTTTAAGAATATTTTAAAACGATGGCGACAGAAGAGATTGGAGGCACAGTCCCTTTACTGGACGTTACAAATGGTAAAGGGGAATGTCTTGCACATACTAATCAGAGGAAAGATCATGCTCATTCTCACACTGGCGTAATACTAGCATTTACTGCCAGTGGGTTAGTTTCTGTCAGTTTCGTTGTATCTAAGCTAGTACCCACAGTTCATCCATTCGAGGTAGTAGGAATCCGCATGTTACTTATGTCGATTTGTGTTATGCCATTGATGCTTTACAAGAACGTGGCTTTTCTTGGATCTAAGGGAATCACCTACCCATGGTTGATCGTGTCAAGTCTCGCCGGTAGTTTGCTGGTTATCTCTACTTTTGTTGCCATTAACCTATTACCTGCTGGGAACGCTGTCGTAATTTTTTCTATTCACCCAATCTCCACGGCGTTTTTGAGCTGGTGTATTCTAACAGACTCCGTTAAATGGAGCGACTTTGTATTTGGTTTGGTTAGCATAGTAGGCATTGTTGCAATAACAAAACCAGATTTTCTCTTTGGCCATTCATCATACAATAACACTGGGCGCTCCCTGGTTGGAACATGCGTCGCTCTAACTGCGGCGCTGCTCACATCTTTACTGTGTGTAGGTATTCGAAAATTGGAAAACAGAATGCACACATTGGCAGTGTTATTTTATATTTCAGTTAGTGGAATTGTTATTACTGTAACTCCATTGTATTTTATGGATGCATTTTCACTGCCGGCATCGCTCAATGAGTGGATGTACGTAGGAGTAGTCGTAATTTGTGGTATGTTAGGACAGGTGTGCATGATAACATCTCTGCAGCTTGAGAAGGCTATATATGTAGCGATTATACGAACAATGGACATCGTGTTTGCCTACATTTTGGAATATATATGGCTGGGAAATCAACCGGAGTGGACTGGTATTGGGGGCGCTGTACTTGTCATAATATCCACTATGAGTATCATGGGTCAAAAAATATATGCTGAAAAAACATGATATGTTGTATTTTCAAAGCAAAGCGAACAATCTAGAATTGTAGTGAAATCATCGCCTTGTTAAGTTACTCTTTACTGACGAAGCACTAGGAAGGCGGTTTAAAAAATCATAACTAATAATAATGGTCGGCAATGTATAATTATCAAATATTGAATACTCTTTCTAATTATGCTTGTGAAATAAATACTCAAATATAACACACATTGTTTTATTTACGTAGTTATTCCTGATACATCTTAATCAGATAAGTACACAGTAGTATGTAAACTTCAAAAATAGTCGAGAACATATGCCACTACGTAATATACTAGTTCTAATGAAGTTATTTATTGATAAACATGTTAATCTATTAACTGCCTCTCTCCACATAAGATATCTTTATTTTCTGTTATCTCATTGTAAAATGTTTGTGGGTGACTTTCACAGAATAAAATACAAGGTAGTTTGGCACTTCACATGCGAATCTCGTTGATACAGATTGTTCACATGAACAGCGAATCAGATTGAAGATTTACGTAGAAGCAAGCGCCCGCCATCATTTGATTAATATTTTTAATAAAGGCCTGGTAATTTAATGTTGTTCAAAAGACAGTTTAGTACCTTTAAACAGGAATATATCAGCCATAGAAATTTTCCAGCTGTTCCAGGCACAGCTTGTTGCACCAATGCTTCAGCTATGTGTTTTGGCCTCATCTCTTTCATGCGTCATAGGCCATGCTCCCGATTTCAGATACAAGTTTTCTTTGCTATACAAGTACCGAACTTTCCATCCCAGTCTAATTTCTCCTGTTGTAAGTCATGTCCTCTCTGTTCCAGGTATTAGTTGCGTCCACACCGTTATGACTAAAATTTATATCGTCATCCTTCCAATGAATTTGTTGATTCATTCTTGCTTATGGCATTGACGCTTATATGGATAGTGCTAGGTCGGTTTTAAATTGTTATATTGTTCTTGCTCAATGCTGAATATTATTATATACTTATGCTATTGGGTACGTGCAGCAGTACTCACTCCTCCCGAGACATTTCTTAAACTGTGTACTCACCTCCTCCCGAGACACTTCTTAAACTGTTTTTTTCTATCAGAAACAAGCCAGCCAAGTCCAATTTGCATAACTTCCCATCTCCACATTCACTGGTTACGATATCATCTAGGGAGACGACTAGGCTTACGTAATATGGTTTTAAAAAAAACTTTCAAACGTAGAAGGCGAATTGCATAACCAGAATTACACCACATTTCAATGCTATAGCCCACTTCTGGTCATCAACGCAAACTTCGACTATGCATCTTAGTCCAGCCCACAATCATACGCAATATCACAGGTTGAGAATCATTCAGTGCACGACAGACTGTCCCAAGAACACATCAACAATAATTTAATAATATTCACATCAATTATGCATGTGCGTGATCTACTAAATTCATATATTTATGGAGCTGAAATATATATTGACATATTAGATACTTTGTGATTATGCAAGTATATTTAATAAATTTTAAACCGCCTTTAAAACATACATTCAGATCTTGGTTACCTTATATGCATACGTTTGCAAGTGGCTTGATACTCGTGTTTATTTCCAGAGGGGTATTCTATAAGTTACATTGTTGCCAGGCTAGTTACACTAAGATGGCGTAGCTGCGCATGTTCACTCTGTCATTTTGCGTTATCTAAATAATAGCGGCTGTACCAGCTTTGAGCTTCGTTTTGGTGTTGTTTTAGTTGTTTGTACGATGTGTATTGTATGTCAGAAACGCTGATATGTTATGTACTAACTGCCTGTATACGATATAGCTATATTTCCTGGGGGAAATGGGAAGTTGGGCGATAAGTGAAGTAATGACCGCCTTGATATAGAGCCACTTTGTAAGTCATGGCGACCATATAGGTATCGGATGACATCTAGCTAGTCACAAAATATTAAAATAGATAAAAGGGAGGTACAATAAAATGCATACAGTGTAAATTTGTTCATATCACGTTAAAAGCATAAATATATTTAACGTCAAGTATTTAACGTCAGTTGCCAAGCAGGTCTTTCAGTTGTTAACCACTTTGTTCCAAAAGTGATCATGGGTGACGAAATCTGAAAGCATTTAAAGCAGTTATAATAGTGAGTTCGCAACTTGATATAAGTTGTTAACAGAAGGTAAACATGAAATTGCGTGTAATTGAATGTATGGACCATTCTACGGTAAGACAAAAAATAGGGTTGACATAGTTCGCATCCTCTGTAGGACCAATTGTTGTTAGGTAAACGTAGTTTTGCGATCAGTGACATCATTGTTCAGTGGTGCGCCCTTTTTTGGCTTGAGTTGGCGTGTCATTTCTAATGTTTGTATAGTCTTACGGACGAAAGCAGAAGTTTTGAGTGACGTATTACCTCGAATAGAACAGCGAGCAATTGTTATTTTGAATGAAAAACATGTCTTAGGACCACATTAAAAATAAATGTGGGAATCAATATTTGTAGCACGGTAATATGGGAAAGAAATATTCCTATATTTAAAGAAGTAGCTTTTGTTGAGCTGTTAAGCCTTAAAAAACAATTACTGCAATATGCAAATAACGTATGTAATTGAGGAAATACGACTCAATAGAGCTGAACGTTTATTCAATAATATTTCTCAGTGCTGTAATTAGATTCGCTAAAGACTATTGACACATGTCACCAACTTTAATTCTCTATCGCAGACCAACACCACATAATATGTGAATATTATACCTTTTAAAAACATATCACAACATTTTCTCTGACAAAGCTTCATGAGCATTGTAAATGCATTTAGTTGCGTGTTATCTACTGTGCTTCTAATTGATCTAGCAAGCGTTTGATAATGATCTAATATAGAACGTATTCAACCAATGTACCGTACCATTTTAATGTCCCCTACGTCCATCCTACAATAATGATGTGTGATATATTAATTTATTTAGTTCAATATGTTTCATAAGTTATTACACCTGCTATCATGCAGTTCCCGTGTGCCCATTAATTTGCATATCTGTAAATATTCATGAAATAAACTTACTGTTATTGTAAACGTTTGCAGCATACTACTATTTATAGCAGGATATAATACGCATGCGTTTTTTATATTAATATTTATTTAACAGGAAAGTACGGGCTCGCTTGCATATTGTTCAATGTGTTCTGCTCGATTTATGTGACATCAAAGTGTCCATATTATTCAATGTGTACAACTACCACCATATTCCTGTATGGACTGTATATATGGTACATATACACATATGGTTTTTGAGGTAAGAATATTGTAATATATTCCACAAATCCCCACGCATCACGGAGCTACTAGGATTTTGAGGGTAATATGCATATACAATCCATTCATATCATACTGAGCGGTAGAATTATTGGTAATAATATAGAGGCATTTGAAAGACTGATTGAGTTTCGAATAATACTTTTCAGTTTTTTTTTTTTTTAAATATTGTTTGTCCCAGTGAATACAATGTATGTTGAAGCAGAAATTAAATTCTATAATTAGGACTGCATGGCAAGCCGTGTAGTATTGCATAGCAGTTACCAGCAGTCGCTTTCGTTAGGACTGTGTGGAACATTCATATAGATTCATATTTTGTGTACGTATCTGTTACTTTTAACAACAATAATGTAGCAATTATTTTGGCAGCCCAAAACGCAAAACTGAAAAAAACAATAATCACGATGACATCATTCAAGCGATGTTTGTGATGATGGTCATCACGACATGTGGGTTCATCAGTACAATACTTCTTTAAGACCAAACCCTTTATGATGTAATACACCTATACTTTTGTTAACAATAATAGTAGTACGAAAAGTGAAAATAAAACAATCAACACAATAATAAAAACACTAACAGGATCTGATTGTATGACATGTTTATATCGAAGCTACAATTCAAACAAATGTGACAATCCTGTGACAATTATGATTTTTTTCAAAATATTGTGACATAACATATGAGCTGAATTCGTTAGTCGACAGTGACAACTAGCCTCAGGTCACAGTTGAAAGTGATCACCATATGGACTTATACAAGGGTGGTCAAAATACTTACTCTGATGCTTTGATCCTGGCAATATAATTCTGCACACGTAACATTGAGTGACTATTATTGGTGTCAGCTACTATAGAGACATGATCAGTTTCCAAGATCCCTGTTTTCATGATAAAATCGTGTTTTCAATATTTTATTACAATGCGAAAAACACAACAGGGAAATTGGAAACATGCACTGAATCTAAGTTTTCAGGAGATGTAATGCTTGTAATAGTAGCATGCTATGTCTCACTTAGAGAATCACTT